TAGGACTCCACTAAATGAGCAACCTAACAGCATTAAAATGGACTGATTATCTAACGACTGAAGTGACGCGCGTATTTACACGTAAACTCTTTCGTGCGCGTTTTAGTAAATACTTTACACCGGTAAGGTCTAAACAGTAAAGTAAACTGACTGTCAGTGAGGAGCACCGTTCCGGGAATCACGTTACTGACGGACCTCTCCGAGTCTCCAACATAAAACGTCTGCGCATACCCTCTCTCGGCAAGCTGTGAAACGTCTACCTACTTCTCTGCTACATTAATTAGGAATTGGGACATTTAAAAGACTAGGGCTCAGATATGCAGCTTAATTCTAGATCAGGCGAAAAGACTATACACACAAATGTAGCCTCTTTACATGAGGTAACCCGTGTTCAGTTTCAGACAGTAGCGCTTTTGCATGTCAGCAGAAAGTGAAGGTAGTCAGCTGGACTATTGCGCCAACTTGCCTCTCACTTTTTAAAAAAAGTTTTGGGGTTTTTTTTGTTGTGTGTGTGACCTTGTGTGTGCCAGTCAGCCACATCACACCTTGATTAGTGAGGTTGCCTTGATTGTTACTCCCAGAGATTTATATGATGATTGGACTAGAGAGTGTTATGCATGCTGCTGTACTAAATAAATGTGCAATTTTTTATTCCTGTTGTAGCTGTTGTTTTTCGCAGTTTCCGTAGAAACCATAATACAGGAACAACTTGTTTTTTTAAATATGAGTTTATTCATGCTTATTTTTGTCAGTGATCCAAGAGTCATCTGAGAGATGCTAGCATCAAACCAGGAGCCTCTGTGTTCTTGTCAGCATCTCTAAACGTTTGTCTTCATCTCGCCCAGGTTGCCCATTTATTATTTTATTATTCCTAGCTACCCTTGTTTTTTTTTTCTTTTTTTAAACCTGTCTTGCTCAGAAGCAAGCAGAATAATGGTCCGAATGCTTTGTTGTGCCAAACATGTTTGCTTTCCCAAGAGGAGCACAGCAGACTCTCTGTAGGTTCCTCTTGTTGATGTTTTTGCTTCATTCATTTATTTCATTTTATAATTCATAATATTGCTGGAGTGGAGGAATGGATGAAGAAAAGGACCAGGAAAAAAGAGAGAAAACAGTATGTGTGTGTGTGTGTGGGGGGGGGGGGTCAAGGATGAAGCAAACAGATATGCTAGGACTCCAACTGCTGCATCGGTAACAAAGCACACTCAAACGATACGCAGCACCTAAAGGCTGAAACAAAGAGAGGAGACCGAGGACAGTCAAGAGAGCTGAAGATCTGAGGCCACACTTCCCGATGACAACCGTGTGTCCATCCCAGCCAACCCCCGCCAGAGAACGGCCACCTCAGCACGAGCTGAGGATGGGGTCCCAGACCCCGAGTACCACCCAACACCTAGCAGAGCCCCCACCACACGACAAAGAGGCCCAAGCCACCCCTGGCCACATCCCCCAAGGAAACAGCTCACCAATCACACCTAAACACTCAGTCAGACACCCCGGAGCCACCAAGTACCCAACAAAGGCCTAAAATACCCATAGGTGACCAGGTACAGTGGCCAAAGTGTGAAGCTGGAGACCGCAGTTCATTTTCTGTTTCACCCACTGTTTAGTTTCATTTTTAATCACTGCCTGGTTAGAATTAGGCTCAAAAACTATTTGATTAGACTACAGAGAACATCACGATTTGAGTTAGAATATATAAGATGCCCTAACAGTAACACACATTTCAGGGTCTTAAACAATACACAACCAACCCGTAGTATTCAACCAACACAGACTGTGTTATTCTCATACCACATAAACCAAGTACTTACACCATTTTCCTTTATTCAAATGCAGCTTATCTTTCTTTAGTTTATTTTTTAGCTTATCTTGTTTTCAATACTTTGTGGTCTGATGTAATCTGACTAATTTAGCTGAATAGGGAAACCTTATTAAGCTTGCATTAGATATATATCAATTATAGCACATATTTGTCTTATAAATGTGTCTCATCAATAACCACCATTTTAGTTATAACTGTTTTTTATTGCACATTAAGAATTCAAGATTAAGTTCTTCCGCAGTAAAACCACTGAAGCCAACTTGACATTTCTAGTGCAGTTCCTGGTAAGAAGTCAGTAAACATTAACACAATTCCAGCTTAAAGCTTATTCAGAGTTAAATCCACCCTTTAGCAAAAAAGAAAGCTCTTTAATGATCTTGTCATTGAGAAGAGGAATTCAATCAAGAGATATTATCATTGTCCTTGTGAGTTTATTGATTTCTTGGCACACTGCAATATGTGTATATTTTTGCCATGAATTGTACCGAAAATTTCCATCCAGTTAACAATAAAAGTGCATATGAAGTCTGCTTTTATGGTTTGTTTCGTGTTTTTCGTTTGAACGCTGTTTGTTACACACTACCACCTACATCCATCAGACTAGATTTTAATAAAGGGTATCATGAAAAAAAGTTCATGTCTATTATTGGTTTAATAGTATGATGAAGTTCAAATTGTCTAAACTATGATTGAGGGTAAGAGTGAGCATGTGCGTGTCTGTGGGGTGGGTAGGTGGGGGTGTTTACACTGTCAGTACATGGTGTTGGAAAACATTTCACAGAATTATTAGGCAGTCAGTGTTAAAATTACACCGTGTTAACAGTGTGAACTGTGCTTTGTTGTTGCTGCAACTTTTCTGACTAAACAGTACAGTACAGTTTATTAAAAGAAATATAAAGACTGATCTGACACATGATCAAACATACTGCAAAGTTTGCAATATGTAAAAGTTTTTAGTATGTTAATCTCGACTTACTTTCAGGATTTCAACGGAATAAAAGCACACAATACTATTTATTGTAAAAAAGAAAGGCACTCAAAGGTCACAACACTGCATCTTATTAGTTTGCTTTGCAGTGAATTGTTAGCCAAATGCCCAATACGTCTGAACACATACAGGGAAGATGCACTTAGTTTGAGACCTACAGAATGTACTTTTTCCATAACTGATTACTTGTGTCTCCCAGAGTTTTTACAAGTAGAATGGAAGCAGTTTGGTTGTCAGATAAAGCTCTACTTGTCAGAGTTTAAAATTTCCTTTTTGCTAAAGTTGAAGCTTAAACTGCCGCTGAGTTATGCTACCATAGGTTCAGGCTGCTAGAATATCTCTCATGATTCACCAAGCATCAAAGAACCTCTCAGTAATAAAAACAATTAGCTGTACAACCACTTACAGCTTTCAAGGCTCAAAACTAAACGCAACCATGAAATCATAAAAACAAAAGGCATCAACATTTGAGGAAAAAAAATCACCAGGAAATGGTACGAGCCATTAGCGATTGACTATTCAATACTGTACTAAGTACGTGGTAAAAACATATGAAGTGAAATGTACGTTAAGCCTTTTTTTATTGTCGTACTATTTGTAATTTTCAGGTTATCATCACAATGTAGATCAGAGGGTAAAGGTTTTATTTAAATTCAGTAGGCTACATGGCATGTGAAGGCATTTCAGAGAATCGTGCTAATAACATTCAGAGTAAAAACGACTCTCACAGTCATCGCAAGAAAGACATCACTTCCTGTGATGTGGTGGAACCGTGCACTGTCAGTGCTGCAGGTTTGCAGATGCATCCCTAAAATGGTATAACAGCATATAAAGACTGGTATACATATATTCTGCTTTGCAAAGTTTATAAGTCCGTTAATGCAACAAATAAATGCATTAGCTGACAGATTTAAGCAGAATAAAAACAGCACAGTTCTTCTCTTTGTTGCCATATAACAAATGCCCTACTTGGTAACAGCAAAGCTGCTACAACACATGAACCAAAATGTCACACTTTTCACACTAGACTCATATGGCTCAACCATTTTTAAAACAAGCAAGCTTAATGTTTCCAGTCTTCTTTGTAAGTTTTCATTCACATATTAATATTAATAAATGATCTTACACTATGAATCAAGCATCATTGAGGATAGCACAATGACCAGGAGTTTACAGAAAGGGGAATTCAGTATATAAAAGATGACATGACGAAAGGGTTTCAGATGAAAACCTGCCACATTTCCCAAGTAATTTGTAAGAACTTGAACTGTTTTTAATTTTCCCTGTCTTAAAACCATCTATTAGATTCTTGTAATTGAAAGGAAAACTACTAGGGTATAAACTAGTGTATATGTGCAATTACTCAGAATTTTAAGGTGGATTTTCTTTGTTCATATTATAAACAAGTTCACCCTCTGCTGCTGCTTATCCATAACTACAGACAGCCTTCCATCATTACTGAAATTCTGTGGTAAGTTTAAAAAGTTGCATTTCATTTTGTTACCACATGAGGGCACTATAAGGAATCAGAAATGTAAGCCATTCATCATGTGGGTTTTTACAGTAACATCTTGTAAAAAGAGATTTTTAAAAAAGGAACTTCTGAAACTTATCTTTGAAACTGAGACAAGCCTTGGTCTTAGATCTGGGTTATTGTTAAGCTATATACAGATGTGTTCAAAACCCTGATACACGCATCACAGCCATTACCTCAGCTGCTTATCAGATGTGTCTTTAGCTTTCTGTCAAAGTTTTTGCCTTGAGACTGCGGTAACTGGGGAAATGGTGTATACAGCATCTATATATAACACAAACAGGACATGTGGCAAAACACAGAGGCAAAGAGATTGGTTATTTCCACAGAGATTATCTTGTGCTTGTATAAATACATGTACACACGAGAACACTTTTATATCTTCCCTGTGAAAACATGCATGCAGATAATTATGCACGCACACAGTGATTCTACATCGTAAATCTATTTACAGTGTATGCTAGACAAAGTCACACCCATGGATGCAATCAAGCAATAAAATGTTTACAGCTTTCTTCTAGCTCTCAACACAACTTATTTCCAAATGTTACAAAAAAGTGAGGGGTGGGGGTGGTAGTGGTAGGGGGGTAACAGATGCTCTTTACAATATCAGCCTATTCTCCCCTGAGAGTACAGCAGGGCACACCCACAAACAGATCCACCAAGCAACTCTAAATGATCTACAGCACTCCGCAGATCAGTGAATATTGTCCTAAAACAAATGCACGACATACATCTTCAAACAATAAAAAAAGCCCCCGCTCTATCTTATTACTGCTACTTCAGAAGAAAAAAAAGGAACAACGCTTCATGAGAACTGAAGGTAGGAGGAAGATTGCTCTGTTTGCATTTGCTTTTTATTGTGGCCATTTGCACCTACCTCCACTGAGACTGAAAGTGCACGGCTGCAACCTCAAAAAGGAAGTAGGCGAGGTCTATTTTGACACCAACCGTGCTTCAAAATATATTCCAAGAGGTGCTGTTTTGAAGTTTCATTTTACACATATTTAGGTGCTGGAGAACGGAAGGAAGACAGTGAAATAATTTCAAGATTTAATAGGTTTTTTTGTATTATTATGATCTTGTTGAGTTAACTGCTTCCATGGACACTACTGGACTATTCTCCAAAACCCTGATTAAACGGATATTTGTGGATTTATACAAGCTGGCTGAACTTTTGAACTACAAGATATAAAAAAAAGAAACCTTGAGGAACTGAGACTGAGGTATTGTTCAAGACGCCTAAATATACTGCTGGATGCTAGATCGCTCAGAGTGCACGGTGTGACAATGCCTGTGATTGTACTAGAGGCCAAAGACTTCACCAGTCCCCTTTTCCTGGTGCGCACATTGGAAGTCCTAACAACCTGCACAGCATTCAGTCTTGTGGCCTCTGTGGAACATAGTAACGGAACTTGGAACAGAACCTTTAGGATCTTCTGTATGTTCATCTGGTGCTTCTTCTTCACCATTACCCTGCTCATCCACATCCTGAGCATCATCCAGTTTCACAGTCTTATCCGAGTATCCTGGAAGAACCTAACTATGACGGTGGCAGTGTTGGGGGCACTGATGACTTTCAGTACATCTGTGATTTTCCCTTGGATGGTGATGGATCATAAGGGGGAACTACCACGTCCTGTGGCGGCTGCAGTGGCCTCAGGTCTCACCTTCCTGGCCTACACCTCAGAGTCAATTGTGCTCCGCACCCAAGCGCACGAGCAAAGAGGCTACATGAGCACCATGCCGGGTCTCCTCAAGATCATCCAGCTATGGGGGGGCTGTATGATCATACCTCCGGTTGTGGAGATGGTCCATGAACTCCTTAATGGAGTAGCATGGCAGCTATCGGTCTCTGGTGTGTCATATGGTGTCTGCATCCTCATGTCTCTAATTACACTGGTGGTTATACTAGGTGACTTTGCTGGGCGATGTCTTCTGCCTTTTGACAGATTTTTGGCTGGCTTCTCCCTAATTGGAGTACTGCTCTACATGTTGGCCACAGTGATTTGTTTTACCAAGATACTGCAGCTGAATGAAAACAAAAACGCCATAACACAACAGCTGGTTATTATGGAAACCGTTATATCCAGTATTACACTATTAGCTTACACAGTGGATCTCGCTTTCTCCATCAAACTGTTGTGTGACAGGGGTCGTATGTGAAGGTCCTCATATATTGTGTGAAAAGTGTTCTGAAGGGTGTAATATGGGGGAAATAACATGTTGAATGTATGATAACTATAATTAACTTCCTAAACAGTTACTCATGATGCTTAACAGATGCTTATTCAGAATAAAGAGTCTAAAAAAGAAAATTAACCCAAAGGCATTCAGACTAATAATAAAATTGTTTCCAATGTAACTGATACATGAAAGACTAATTATTTTCTTTTTATTACATACCTTAACACAACCTGCAGTACCATCAGTTTAATGGGGCCAGTTGCCAGTTGCTAACACTAGATGGCAACACGACATTAGCAGTACCACTATTTAAATCACAGGAGGGAACTTTTAACTGTACATTACACTCAATGTTTATTTTCAGCAGGGGTCAGCTGCGCCTTTTTGTGAAGATAAAAACTGCTGTAAATCACATCCTTCTTTAATGCATTTAGCTCTTAAATACTAGTCAGATGTGACTGTTATTCACACACTTTTTAACTGATTAGCCTGCACACAAGCAAAATAAAAGATGGATTTGCTTTCTTTTTCTTTTATGATAATCTACAAAAGGAGTTTATTTTAATTTAGTAAATTTTGTGTCCCCAAGATAAGCCAGAAAAAAAACTGTACACTAGTGTTCCCGACTTATTTACATTTTACACTGTTTACCTTACACATCTGCCTCACCAGCTCAGGCTTGCAAAGCAGCTCTATCAAAACATCGATTGGCTATCCCAAACCGCATTGCAATGGAGTTATCCGGCTGCTCGGTTTCGATTACTCTGGCCTCCCGTGACTCCAGCGTTTTTTTTTTCCACTCTTCTTTAAGGAACTAAGTGCAGTTTAGTCGTTGTCAACAGGGTGAGGTAGAAGACGGGTCGAAATAAGTTGGTACGTGGAACTGAATACACACACATTACTGTGCGTGAATCTTTGGAGCCCGTTTGGAAGTTTTGCTTTTTTCGTGTGTGTCCAGGCGAACATGGAGACTCCCACAAACGGTAAGCTATCATTACGAAACACATTTTTCCAGTTTGGTGAAATAAGCTCGTCTAAAAACAGACTTGGGAACAAATTCGGGATTCAGTTTTAAACAGGAAAACTATTCTTTTCCGTCCACTCATTGTTTATGGTTTGATATTAAGTCATGTTTGGGCTAATGGCAGTGAAAATAAGTGTTAGTTAATGCTGTCGTGTTTCACTGGTCCGTGTAAGATCATAATTAATATTATGACCACGTTAGTACCCATATTAGTCCATATAGCACCTCCCAGTATCATCCTCATGCTAACTCCTACAGCCAAAGCCTATATTTTGCCATATGGTTATATTCCATCCACAAATGGCTACCAGCTAAACGCTGAGCTACGAAGAACACACTCCCTTTATATTTTAGGTCTCTGTGTTTATATTTTTTACAGCCATAATTATCTTTGGCCCTTTAATTCTTGTGTTTCTCAGAAGCCCCATGAGCACCATGGACATGTGATACTTGACTCTGCTCTAGGCAGATGCAAGTCCCAGGCTGGATTGAATGGCACTGAGGATACAAGGTAAGCACTTAGCCAGTAAATTTGGACTCATTATTGATCGGTTTCCTGAGCTACAAATTACCTCAGTGGGGCCAAAGTCTAGATGGAAAGAGGAAAGCTTAAGAGAGAGTGCGTGTGGAGGATAGGAAGGACAAACACAGCTCTGAGTGGTGAAGAACTGAGTAGTACTACAGAACAGCTGGCATTCACAGAATAGGGATCAGATAAAACCTCTGAGTTAGAAGCAGGCCTCAGGTATTGGTGACCTGAAGATAAAGTGGAAACGTGTGTTTGTCTTACCACATAGTGCTGGGATTCCCAGCTTTGTCATTCACAAAACTGAACATGTTGTCACAAAACCAGATGATTGGTAGAACCGTGGTCCTTAAAAGCCTTGCACAAGCATGGAGTCTTGTATTCGAACATACAAATAAAAGAGATGAGCCCAAGGCTCCCTTCTGAAGCTCTGACTTTAAATTTACATTTCAGCAAATGCTTTTAAACGCAAATAGTTAAAGTTGAGTTTTACCATTTTTCTTGGGTTTTATTTTGTTTGGTTTGATTTATTTATTTATTTATTTTTGTTTTGCACATACTGACTTAAGGTTATATTTAAAAATAATTTCTTAGACTTGCAGTGCATCTTTTCTTCTCATTTAACTGGTTTACTCGTCACCATAGACACTATATAAAAACGTATGTAGCTCATCGTTATGTCACTCCTTGGTTAGCCTCAATATGACCATTTTCTTGCCTTGATTTTAGCGTTTTGACAAGGCGAGGTGGATCAGGTTCAGAAACTGAGTGATACCACAGTAACTTCCCAGTCACATGGTAAAGTAGACAAAAAGGCTGTAAACTTCTGTTCAAATGAACTACTTTATGCGACCTGAAGAGTGCAAAAATGCATTGACTTCACTTTTTAGACAAGAAACTTACTTCCATCTTTTGTATAAAGTCTATGCTCCTCTCAGTGGTCTCTATAGGTTATATTGAACAATACTACTTTTGTCAAGTAGCCATTGCTCATACTAAAAGAAACACTAGTGCTGCATAGTGTTATAAGGAATAAGAATTCACTTGTTGTCATCCAAACCGCTTCATGGAACTTATTGTTTTGGTGCTCAAGAAGCTTCAAGTCATGTAGTCATTATTTTTAGATGACTAAAGCTGCTGCTTCGTGAAATTATATTCAAAGCAATACCCACAGGCTGTGGTAAAAGCCCGCACACCAGAACACGTTTCTTTTCCTTTAAACACATGTTCAGTTTCAGGTTTAATGCAAGTAATCCAATAATGCTATCTTCTTTAGGCTTCCACTTCTTTAAACTTGCATTGTTCTCTTTTGCAGGTTGTTCCTTAACTGCCACATTGTCTCATAGTAGAACTTAAATAAAGCGTAGCAGTTAGCTGTGTTGTTGAGCCAGTTATTCACGGTAATTCACAGAGGAATTTGACTTTAAGATTTGCATGAGGCTGTTCTAAAAGAGCTCGAGTAATGCAGCCAGACTCCTGCTGACTTCAGTTAAGCCTGTTTCAAGGTGGCAAAAAAAAGTGAACGTTATGGTCTCTCTTCCTGGTCGGGTATTTAGGCATTTATGCAAATCAGTTAACTCTGCAGTCGTAATGTTTATGTTGATTTTTGTGGTCATCATGTTATAATGTTCATATGTCTGTATAAGAAAGTGAACCCATTCTAGATGTAGCTAAAGAATAAGATGGATGTAAAACATTTTGGTTTTAACACGTGAAAAGTTTGGTCTGATGTAGGCTGTCATTCTCAGCAATGTTTTTTATTGTATTTGTTTCTGGTAAGGATATATGTAACGGATATGGTCGTGTCTGAATCAGAGTTAATATAGGGTGTTTTTTCTGATTAAATTAATTTCAGTTAATTTTTAAATTGGTATTTCTCATTTCATTTTAGTTTTTTTTATTAGAAAATTTTATGTAATTGAAGCTTTTTATTTTATTTTATTGGTAGTTGGTATGGGATGTACTTGTATGATTTAAGAAGAATTTCAGAATATAAGTATTATAAAGTATTTTGTCAAGGCAGTCAGTTAGGTCATTCATGCTTATGTTCTCAATAAATATATGCATCAAAGCCTCTTAATGCTTTATGTAAAAGATTAAAACTAAAGACGTTTTTTCTTTATTTTCATTCATTTTGTGACTACAGATTAATTGTTTGGTTACTTTTCATCTCTCTAAACTCTATTTTCACTCTGCCTTTTAGTTTTAGCTAAATTTAATAACTCAAAAAGTTTATTCTGTTCATCTGAACGTAGCGTTTCCTGTGGGGGAAACATCTGGCTACTCGTCCAAGTGACTTCTTCAATAAATCACTTGGATGAGTGAACTTATTACTGAATAAGTAATAACGGTGGCCTGAATAGCAGACATGTCGAACGTAAACCTGAGAGAAGCATCCAGAGCCACAACCTGTGGCGTTTTGTTTTTTGTTTGTTTTTGAAGCCTACATGGTATGAAGTAAGGTACTTTGTATCCTAAGCCTGATTTGGCATATGTCAGCAAACACATTAAAAGCCACTCAGACCTCGGCGGCACAGACAGCACCTGTAGGAAGAATTCATGCTGAAAGTGCTGAAACTAAAGGACAGGATGTGGTTGAAAGGATGCAGAGAGAAAGGTGTCATTTTGGCAACCAAAGGAGAAGTAAAAGCTGCCGTAACACCTGTGAGCGACAGAACGAGGCTTAGGGTTTGAGTGTGTCTGCAGCATATCTAAATGATTTGGATCACGTTTTCATTTCCTGTCTCAGAAAGCATGTCACAAATAAAACTGCCGAATGAAAGCCGTTCAAAATGGAAGCCTTTTCCACATGTATGCCCAAACAGAATTCTGTACCGACTGGTAAAACACACATCAACTAGTTTGTGTTGTGGATGTTTTACTTTCCGAGCCAAACATGTTCTGATGCTGTTGTAATGCAGTAGAACAGGTAGTGGCTGTGTGTCTTTATCACCTCCTTAGTGTTGCTCCTCTAATAGAGTTTGACTTATTCATTTTTCACTGTGAGACAAAGAGCATGTGCTGCTCATATGTACCTGCACCCTGGTGACTCGACACCTGTTCATAGCTTTGAGACACTTTCTTGTCTTCCAGGTTCTCAGCAGACCAAATCTATTTTTCGATCATCAGGAATATTCGTTTTTTATTTTTCTTACGTCAGATTTTTCTTCAGCTGAGATGTAGACACACTTAGTTTTATTTTAAAAAAAAAAATTTAAAAGGTAAAAAGAAGCAGACACTCTCTGAATGAAATGAAATAAAGTTTTAGGAAGAAAAAAGTTTTTTTTGGCAGAAAGGTAAGCAAACCTTATCATTTTTTGTTTTGGTTTTCTGTGTTTGGCTTGTGATTGATTTTTCTTCATACATGTTTATGTCCTGGCCCTCACCAGAATTAAAAATAATTTATGTATCATACACAAAATAACTACCCCGATGTGCTCCAAGACAGCTGCCAAGTGGCAGGAAGTTTATTGGTGGCATTTGTATCTACAAAGCCTTGAAGAAGACAGATGATTTGGACTTAACATGACAAAATATTGACATGAAATTATTGTACTTAGGCTATGTGGGCCAGTTTTACACAGGGTACACTCTCTCATTGTGATTTACAGCTTGCTCAGTTAAACAATGAGTGAGTGAAGGCCTCTGTTAAAGGAAACCAGTGTTTCTCCATGAACCGTGGCCCAGATTTGTAATAGTTTGTAATCTTTACAACAATGGAAAAGGCAATAAGCCGAGCCCATTGTCACATGTGAGTGTGCTGTTACAGGCAACTTATTTTTTTTTCCCTGTTATCAGATCAATTTCCAAGGCTTTGTTGAGCTTAAAGAATTCCAGATAGGGGTGTGATTTGTTGATTTTTATACAAGTCCATTGAGACTTCAGTAGATAAGAGTGATGTTGATCAGTAGTTTCCATGGCAGGGCAACCATACTGTACGACAGAGTATTAGGGCCACATTAACATAAACATTAAGTTGATTATTTTGGGAATAAAGTCAAAACTTTGAGATTCAAAGTTAAAGAAAAGTCAAAATATTATTCTGGGGAAAAAAGGTTGAAATGGGGAGCGTGGAGATTACCGTTATTGTTTCAAGACAAACTGCCACATTTGCAATACCCCCTGCAAAATGCCTTGTTTTGACGAGTTAGTGAAAGTTTTTTTTTTTTGTTGTTGTTGTTTGTTTTTTGACCAGACTCGGCTTTCTGCATCATGTGTTCAACATCCACATACTCATCACCACAATGAATTAGAATTACAAATTTAATCTCAAAATTTTGACTTGATTTTTGAAGTGATCGATAATAGTTTTTTCTTAATGTAGCCCTAATACTTTACAAAAAAAAAGATAAACTAGCTCTTTCCTGTAGTAAAGCCAGGAACCTTTTGTAAGCTCCGTCATCTTTGAAGCAGGTGCCAGCAGACGCCTTAAACAGGTGCCGCTCCCTTACTGGAATAATGGCCATTACTGGGACATCAGGAGAATGTGTCACACTATCAGCCATCTGTGATTTCAGGCTCTGCCTCACTTGTGCTCTGCTTGCACAGTACTGAACACTCAGTTCACTGTTGCCATCATAATAATCACCTCTGTTACCAGAGGAGAGAGACACGGGCAAGGTAGGGGGCGGGGAGGTGTTTAAATATAGCTTTTCTAAAAATATTTCTCTCTTGGAACTGAGGCAAATTCACAAAGCTGCAGGCAACAGATTGTATGAAAGCAAAAATCAGAGAGATTTCTGAGAATCTGTGAATTTATTTACAGTTTTAACGTCAGCCCAGAGGAGCAGCACAGCTTCATAAGATTAAAGCCACTCCTTTGCAGTTTCAAGCAGTCATTTGCTATTTCAGTCTCCAATGAGCTTCTCTCACAGTTTCACAATGTGGTCTTTTGTCATCACAGTTTGGCTGGGACCTGTTTTGCCTAATTCCTATTGCTTTGAACAGCACTGAAAAATACACGACTACAGCATTCCCGGCTTTTG